ATTCAAAGCTGGGTCGTCCAATTTTAAACAGTCACAGTTTGCCCCAAAGAATCCTGGGAATTGTAGTTCATTAAAGATGCTGAGAGTAGTCTGGAGACACCTCTTCCCTCACAGAGCTACAATTCCTAGAGTGGTGTGAAATCCATCCCTTTCCTCATGGAATGCTGGCAGTTTTAGTTCTGTGAGGGGAATGGGGATCTCCTAACACTCAGCATAGTAAAAAGCTAAGAATAAATGGGGAACTCAACATTTCAAATTGAGATGTTATGGAATCATTGTACCTGAACCAGGAAGTGTTCTGAAGCTAATGGCAGGTGATTTTATTGAACTAGATATGTCAAATGCATACTACCAGTGTCATCTGTCAGTATTAATTCAGATGTCATCTGAAGGCAGCCCTGTTTAGGGAAGCTTTTAATGTTTGACGTAGTACAGTATTTTAATATTTTTTTGGAAGCCGCCCAGAGTGGCTGGGGAAGCCCAGCCAGATGGGCAGGGTATAAATAATAAATAACAACAACTATTATTATTATTATTATTATTATTATTATTATTATTATTATTATTATTATTATTATTATTATGTTGGACATCAACTCCTGGTGGCTGAAAGGTACTGCATCTTTTACAATGTACCTTAACAATGCCTAGATGTCTCAAAGAGATGGACAGACAAAACACCAGAAGAATGCAAATGAGTGTGGGCTCTCATATCTAGAGAGGAAAGGGTCTCTGTATCTTTTGCACTGTTCACTCCAACAATCACTTTGTGCATCATTTCCTCCAGCTCCTCCTCTCTGACCATACAACCTTGGTGACATTGACCAGGTTCCCCGATTAAGTGGGAGGAAGCAAAAGCAACACAGACTTGAAGCCAACAGTTAATTTAAGATTTACAGGGAGAAGGAAGGGAAACAGGTGGCTGCACCAAAAAGGGCAATCAGAACCCAACACAAAGACAGATGGAAGTTCATCAACCAATTCACTCTGAGTTGAGACCTCTAAACTTTGGCCCAGCCCACTGTGCAAACCTGCAGATTTCCCATCTTGGTTTTTGTATGGGTGCGTAGCACTGTGGCTCCCACCCCATCCACAGTCACTGAAGCCTTGACAAAAACCTACCGTCCAATGATCTTGTGGGAAATGCTAAGTGTAAGCATGGGGTGCGCACTCTGTTCCTGTTGATACCGCATGCCTTCCAATTGTCCCCATTTTCCAGGGACGATCCTGCCTGGAATTATGAAAGCCATCCTGGTTTCTGATTTGACCCCAGGGTGCTTGTCCCGAGTGGTGATGGCAGCAAAGGACCATCCTGTTGCCTCTCCATGGCTACTGCTGCCGGCCTTCTCCCTTGGGCAGCTTGTAGTGGTTTCTGGAGAGCAGACGAAGAGGGACAGGCAGAGGACAAGGCTGCCCTGGGCAGGAAGAAATTGATGGACAGATTAAGTTGATGGACTATGCCGAAACGACCGGAAGGATCAGAAATCAGGAAGACCAAAATTTTAATAAGGAAAGGGGGAAATTTAGAACTTACCATAAAAACCATTGTAAACAGTTAAAATCATTAGTAGGATTGGAATAACATTTGTAGAGTAATGGTGAATTTTGGATATAATAGAGATGTAAAAGATCTGATTAGAATCATAGAATCATAGAGTTGGAAGAGACCACAAGGGCCATCGAGTCAAACCCCCTGCCAAGCAGGAAACACCATCAGAGCACTCCTGACATATGGTTGTCAAGCCTCTGCTTAAAGACCTCCAAAGAAGGAGACTCCACCACACTCCTTGGCAGCAAATTCCACTGTCAAACAGCTCTTGCTGTCAGGAAGTTCTTCCTAATGTTTAGGTGGAATCTTCTTTCTTGTAATTTGCATCCATTGCTCTGTGTCCGCTTCTCTGGAGCAGCAGAAAACAACCTTTCTCCCTCCTCTATATGATATCCTTTTATATATTTGAACATGGCTATCATATCACCCCTTAGCCTCCTCTTCTCCAGGCTAAACATGCCCAGCTCCCTTAGCCGTTCCTCATAAGGCATCGTTTCCAGGCCTTTGACCATTTTGGTTGCCCTCCTCTGGACACGTTCCAGTTTGCCAGTGCCCTTCTTGAACTGTGGTGCCCTGAACTGGTGCCCAGAACTGATTATAAAAGATGCAGGAGGAAATGATTAATAATAGGACCCACAAAGGGGAGGAGGGAAGTGGAGGATATTCTTTGGAATCTTGTTTTTATGTTGTATGTTGGATATGTGATTGTAAAATTCTAATTTGAAAAACCAAATAAATAAAATTATCAAAAGGGGGGAAGAGGGGGGGAATGAAATTCTCTCTGGGGGGCAGGAGTGGAATATGGGCTTGAGGAGGGTTAGTTGTGGGGGATTGAGAAATGTCCTTATTTTCATCTAAGGAATCTTGGAGGGTGTGATGTGGTTGGTGACAATCAGGGCTGGTACCAGACTTCAGGAGACACCTGGCGCTGTCCAGCTGATATCTGCCTGTTGTCAATGAACCTACCCTACCCTTTGCCTTGGCAGAACCCGCTTCCTCCTTTCCCATGATGCCACCCCATTCCTCCTTCCCTCGCCCACCCTCTTACTTAAAAAATAAATAAATAATGCAACTTTAAATTTTCAATGTTACTGGATTGCTCAGTTGGTTAAACAGTGGTGCTGATAACGCCAAGGTTGCAGGTTCGATCCCCATATGGGGACAGCTGCATATCCCTGCATTGGACGTGGGTGGTGCTGTGGTCTAAACCACTGAGCCTCTTGGGCTTGCTGATCAGAAGGTCAGAAGTTCAATCCCTGCAGCGGGGTGAGCGCCCATTGCTCTGTCCCTGCTCCTGCCAACCTAGCAGTTCAAAAGCACACCAGTGCAAGTAGACAAATAGGTACCACTGTGGCGGGAAGGTAAATGGGGTTTCCATGTGCTCTGGCTTCTGTCACGGTGTCCCATTGCACCAGAAGCAGTTTAGTCATGCTGACCACATGACTTGGAAAGTTGTCTGTGGACAAACGCTGGCTCCCTTGGCCTGAAAGCGAAATGAGCGCCACAACCCCATAGACACCTTTGACTGGACTTAACTGTCCAGGGGTCCTTTACCTTTTACCTGTAGGGAGTTGGACAAGATGATCCTCAGGGTCCCTTCCAACTGTGCAATTCTATGATTCTGTGATATGAATAAAATAAACAAACACATTCCAAGAAAGGAAGGGAAGCCAAGGTTCACTTCTGTGCATATATCTCCATTTACGAGGCATCGCCCAGGTCACTTTAGGCAGGATTGGGACAGTGATTTACCAGGGAGAAGCATGAGAAAGCAGAGGAGTCTCAGGTAAATGGGAAGAGTTGGTGCATATGTGACAAAAGCTCCATTAGAGCTGACTTCCGTGGTTGGCAGTCATCTGCATGGTGGCCTTGGGACAGGCTTATATGGATAGGAGCTTCTACAAGGACTTTTGCATAGCTTCCAAGCAGCTGTGGGAATCAGGCAAATGGACTCACAATCTACCTGGACCTTTGTGGAAATACAGCGCCATAAACTATGCTTTTGTTATGAAATGCTGCCACCTGCTGGCACATCGCAAGAAGGGCAGTACTTTGTTCAGGCCTGAAAGAAATAAAATGCAGTCATGCACTGAATAATAGGATCAAGCCTCTCAGGGAAATCACAAACTCTTGTCTACAGTGAACTCAAAACCCTTTCAGATTTTTACTGAATTGTGCAGACACTCTCTCTTTCTCTCAATGAATCTAATCTCCAGGTATTGTCAGATATCATATATCCTTGTCACATCTCTTTCCCTGGCTCTCAAGGCTTTATTTTGTTTTTGTTTTTTGTTAATCACATTGTCCTAGTCTGTTCTCATCCATCCAACATTGCATTCCCTTTTAAAGGTGGCCCAGTGATACCTTATATCTTAGGCCCATCTGCACTATATATTTAAAGCTATATCATGCCACTTTAAACAGCTGTAGCTTTCCCTAAATAATTCTG